GGTGCCTACGCGCCACGCTTCTTCGAACAACTTTCTCCGAAGTGTCCACTCATCCGACGGGCGCCCTTTTTGTATTTTTTTACTGTGCGCACCCCTTGCAACCAATGCAGTCAGGCGAGTTTTTTCGAACAATGGACTTCAACTTCCTCCCGCGGGCCCAGAAAGCTGCACGTGCAAGACCTTTGAGACAGGCATTCCGTGGAGCTGAAATCGCTGCTTCGTGTACGCTGGCTATGAAGACGCGTTTCAGCGGAATTTTCATCTTATTTCGCAAGCATTTAAAATGATAATAATAATATTCAATCAACCAATAATCAATCAATCATTTTTTAACCTACCCAAGAACAACCATAGGGTCTTTCATGCTGGCGCGAGCGAAAAGAAAACAAAAAACAAACAATACATTACAGACTGTCCACAGAAATGCAAAAAAAGAGCAAAAACGAGCAGTCGAAAAGAAATCAACGCACAATGGAAACAACAAATAAAAGAGTAGATATCTATGGAATGGGACTGAAAAATAATGTAGAATATACATAACCGTGGCGAAGGCTTCCTGAAAGACGGAAAAGGGAAGAATCTGTGCATGTGCAAAGCTATGTTAGGACAGGGCAGCCCTCACTGACAAAAAAAAATGACTGTAGACTATGAAAAACATAACGAATTGAGAAAGTTGACGTTAGATAGACTCGGTATTTTTGTAAAGGATAGAGTGTTGAAAGAAGCTGGCAGGTACATGCAACGGTCGATTCTCTCTCGATAACTTACGCGGAGTTTCAAAATTATTACAACCGAGAAGGGCAGAATATCTCACCCTGAACTAGCTTGTAAAGAAATAACAGCTCAGCGCGATTTTGCCGGCCGTTAACTGATGGCAAATATAATATTCTAGCAGTGTTGAAAGGATTCTAGTGAAACGATGAGGGTAAATACTTATGAAATTTTTCTGGACTCACTCAGTGGCGCTACTGCTGGATTTAGCAAGGCCATTCCAAATCAAATATGCATATGTACTCAAGTTGACCACGACATATCGCGGTGTACAATTTGTAGAAGGCTGTAAAAGAACCGGATTCTCGCGAGATGTTGAGCCAACAGGAAGAGAATGAAGGCCTCGCATGGCAGCACATTTAATGCAAGTAGAAAAAATTCAGCATGCTATCAAAAAGAACACCAAGATAACTGATATCATAAAACTTACATAACGACGCAGTATGACAGCATATGGATTTGCTGTTGGGCGTTTTGCGAAATACAGCAACAACAACAACAACAACAATAATAATAATAATAATAATAATAATAATAATAATAATAATAATAATAATACACTCATATCATTCTGACATGGCCGAAAATATCTAGCCACATGGAATGAAATGCCAGTGTCCGGGTGCCCATGAATCTCTATACGTGAGTGTGCACTTGCGCAGTTTGGTGGGTATGTACCGGCATACATATCTTATAAGTAAGTGCACTACCGTGTTGGTGTTGAAAGGATATGTTCGCAAGCAGTTTGAATCGTTACGCGCCTGCACAACAAGGGACTGTTTACATAATGTAGAGTTTGGCTTAGGTATCACGCCAGCCCGCAAAAAATGTGTCATACTAATTGTATTCACAAGGCAATGTTTAGGCTAATCCTGATGATGGCACGTGCGCTTTAGTGACCTCGACTAAGTAATGACACACCGACACAAAATAGAAGTTTTGTGAATTCGGCAGCCTACGTTAAATGTTGCTATAAAGCTTCAGCATTTCATTACATGATCCAATAAATATGTATCACGTGTGAGTCAGTTGCACCTTTCTTAACGTACATGTCTATGACGTGAGATTTATTTGACGCTTGCAAACATTACACTAAATTATTTGTTCACTTGTGCAATCATAAAATTTTCGATAAACTTACTATGTGCACAGCCAGGAACATTATACGTAGCCAAAGGAAACGCAAGATGTATTTTTGCAATAAATTAGTACAACTTCCATCTTGAATGTAATCATAATAGTGCCTGCAAGTTGCATTCACGTAAGTTCTTTTTGTTTTTGAAAATACTCCCTTAAACATTGCACTGCGCATGGAATTATAGTAAATGGCTGCTGAAAGCAATCGCAGATGAGGGGTCAACAGGATTAAGAGAAATCTTGTTATATGAAGGGAGCATATAGCCATCAAAACTTTCAAATAATCAGAAATTTTGTCCACCGATGTGGAAGCTAAAAGTGCATTGAAATTACTCTTTCTTGCTGCCACTTTAAACAATGCATTAATGTGAACAATATAAGTTGCATGCATTTTGTCTTTACATAATACTATATAGGATTGCTCTATAATAATAGCGAGGTTCGGAAGCTTCAATACGTTTTGTGACTTGACACGATTCCTTCCTCGTAAAACATGTCTGCTCTTATATACATTATTTACGTCGTATTAATTGCAACTTATTGTTTCAAACCTAAATGCTATGAAAAATGTACGAGTTAAATTACACGAATGCATGCATATATGCATTCAACTGAGTTGCAACTATCACGTACACAAAGCTGACCTGAATTTCGGTTTTTTTGCATGGCAGAAACAACATATATATTTAATACTCCTATTGTTATGAAAAACAAGCAGGTCAGCTTTGTGTACAAATTGTTATATATTACAATTCACATAAAAGTGTGATCACGTTGCTAAATATATACGTGGTTCATCCCAAATAAGAGAGCACTTCCACATATAAGGATCCACTTGATATGTTATATATGGTGTGGCCGTTCCTTATTTGGCCAGATTTGACTCCTTATATGGGCCAACCGCGTCATATATGGCCGTATATAACCCCATACATGAACCGACTCCGCCAGATATACATCCATATATGCTTATATGTGGCCACATATGCTGCCATATATGCCTATATATGGCCACATATGCTGCCATATATGCTTATATATGGCCAGATATAACTTATATATGGGCCATGTATGGCGTTTCCGTAAGGGTAGTTACTTCAATCTCGTGGTTCGGCTCTGCGGTTATTACCTGCCCTAAGTAGACATAGTCTTTTACAACTTCAAGTGCACTATTACCTATCTCGAAGCACTGCTCCTTGCCGAGGTTGTTGTACATTACTTTCGTTTTCTGCAGATTAATTTTAAGACCCACCTTTCTGCTCTCCTTGTCTAACTCCGTAATCATGAGTTGCAATTCGTCCCCCGAGTTACTCAGCAATGCAATGTCATCGGCGAAGCGCAGGTTACTAAGGTATTCTCCATTGACTCTTATCCTAACGTTCCCCATTCTAGGCTTCTGAAACCTCCTGTAAGCACGCGGTAAATAGCATGGGGAAATTGTGTCCCCCTGCCTTACACCCTTCTTGTTGGTATTCTATTGCTTTCTTTATGAAGCACTATGGTAGCAGTTGATCCCTGTAGATTTCTTCCAGAATGTTATATATACTTCATCTACGCCCTGATTCCGCAGTGTTTGCATGACGGATGATATTTCTACTGAATCAAACGCCTTCTCGTAATCTATGAAGGCTATGTATAGTGGTTGGTTATACTCTGAGCATTTCTCTATTACCTGATTGATAGTATGAATGTGGTCAATTGTTGAGTAGCCCATTGCCACTTCTCTACGCGTTGCTGCTGTCTATCACCCCTATTCGTTGTCCGAGTGAACGACACGCCTCAAAGGGCAACTCCTGATAACCGCGCAAGCAAGATGTCACGAGACAAAGAGGCTCGACGATTAGCGGGAGGTGCCACCGCACAGCATCGCGACACTTGTGAAAGAGTCGTCGATGGTGGTGAGGAGATGAGGGCCACCTAAAATTATCACATGCATTTATGATTTGACCGCGGGCGTGATCCGCCAGTAGCCATCTATATGCAACTTGGCTGCGAATTATTATTGGGAACATATTTAAGATGCTATCATGAAGGCCTAACAAAGCTGAATTATTGTACCCTTACCACGACCAGTGATAAAAGTAGATATGAAATGACGTATAGTTGGAACTGACGTCGTTGAACACGCCATATTGAAGTATATAGTAACATTGTTTGACGCGAATTTTACGATGTCACGTTAATGTTATCAGTATGCGTTGCATGCAGGCCCTCTCGCTTTTCATGCGAACAGGGTGTTTGTTTCAAAGCGGCATTCGATGTAGCTATGAACCAGGTAACCTGACACCATAACCATTGTTGGGGTTTAACGTGAAAAACGCCGCATAGTCGCGGGCTCCGAAAATTTCGACCGACAGGGTTACTTTAACGTGCACCAAAATCTGAGCACATGGGCCTACAGCATTTTTGCCTGCATTGAAAATGCCGCCGTCGCAGGCAAGCATTTGATCCCGTCCACCTGCGGGTCAGCAGCCGAGTGCTTTGGCCACTAGACCACGGTGTCGGGTTTAAATGACGCAAGGATAAGCCGACTTGACGTTATCAAGATCGCCATGTTAGAAGTATACTACGTGAAGAACCAGCGTCTGTGGCGTCATGTGCGAGCTATGAATACCCCCCACCAGGTGGTACTATCGCGCTGAGTGTGAGCTACACCTCAAAAGCGCGTGGCCGATTGCACTGCAAGGCTGTACAGTGGCGTCGAACGCGTCCTATTTTCGAATTATTGGAAGGGAGGCCGTTCCTGAGAATGCCCATCGCCCCCACTTGCTTGTTTCGGTCATCGAAATCGTTCTTGCAGAAGCTTATATCACCCCGGTAAAAACGAGGGGATGCGCACTCACCGGAAAAGCCGAACCTGTCCCTGATAGCACACAAACATTCTACCAAGGAGCCGTTGTATCACCATCGAGTGCGCTTGGCCACGCGCTCCACTGGTGTAGCTATACGCGACAAAACCTACTAAATATATGGTGTTTTTCCTTTTTTTTTCAAAGCGTACCATTCTCCGGTCATTAGAACGAAGAGAAAAACTTTTCCAATGCTGTTGCGCCAAGTTATAACTAACCAACGGCCACTTGTGGCGCTTACAGAACACTCACCGCAAGGCCGCTCATCAGCATCGTCCACGCCCCGACTGGCAGGGCAGGGCGTTCTTCCGCGGTGGACACGAAGACAGTCCGGCACTGACCATGACGAAGCTGAAGCCGCGAGACCAAGGGACTTATGTTTGCAAGGCGACCTTTAAGGATGGTGCTTCCCGGACTTTATCCACTGCCTTGCTTGTCGTAGGTGTGTGTAAGAGTGAGCCTTGTCGACTTATCTGCAGTACAATAGTTGTAGCATCTCTGCCTTGATTTTGCAACCGATGCAAGCGTACAGCCATGGCCACGTCTGTGTAGAGCGCTATAGCAACCGGTTTTTGCTCTGCGGGCCGAAACTTTGAGGCAGCTTCGGGCTCTGACGTAATGTATCAGGAGGATGCACAGCCTATAGTTGTCAAGCTCACCACGTGAGAGTCTGATACTGTACCCAAGGTCTCTCCGCCGAGTAAAAAACAGCTGTTCGCGTGCTCTACACAGACGTGTCCACGGATGTACTTATCGACCAGAGCAATGTCTGGCTTCCCGTGAAATTGCAGTACCCCGTAAACTTCGGCCAAACGCGCAACCAATGTCGGGATGTGCGCTAGAGATTCCGATTCTGCGCCTTCAAGACAATTTTACTTGTGTGTTTTAGCGCAGCGCCTCCAGTTCTACTGTTATCGATAGCGGGCCGTTCATACCTAGGGCGTTCATGTGCTATCTGATTTTGGCTATGAGCATGCGCAGGGTTTCGCACCGCGCCTTGAGTTGTGCTGTTATCGACCCCAGGCCGATTACATCCAAGCTTCTCGCGTGAGCAATCTGTCCTAAGCCAGGGGCATGCGCAGCGAGTATCAGTTTCGAAGACGAACATGAAAGCTGAAATTACCAGTGGGAAGTACCAGGCCCATGAGTGAAGTATATAGCCGTACGTGTAGCACACGTGTCTGTCACGGCTTTCCGGAATATTGTTAAGGCCTAGAAAACCTGCAAGAGCACGATTCTATTTTACGAACATTCGTTTATTTCACGACCACAAACGGACAATACAAACACCATGTTGATTTTCGTGCTCCCATTATCGCCCCTACGTCAGTACAGTTAACTGCTCCGTACCTGCATTGATTTGGCAGTGAAAGGCATAGGTAAAGCATATATCGGTCGGTATTTAAATCAAACGATTGCTTGAGTTGGTTTGGTTGGTTTTTACAGGAGTGAACCAAAGTTAAGCGCATTATCTTAGCCCGCGATGCGGCTGTTAGGATAGGCCTCTTAGTCCTAATGAGGGAGCCCTGAGCGCGTTGGCGTGCTTCTTGCAGGACCTTAATATATGTTTTTCCACCCATTCATGTAGCACATCGTGAAACGAAAGTTGAATTAAAAAATACAAGAAAGCTATCGACGATGCACCAACATGAAGTTTAATTATAGTTATAAAAATATTTATAAAACTTTAAGAAGCCAAAATTTCTCGTCTCTTTCTTGACTTGACAACTTGTACCCAATAGGAAACGAAAAGGATGAAACGTGCACATCTGGGTTCCATATATTTTACATGCACCGAGATCAACACAGAATGCACGGCATCACATTCATTATCTGTTCTTAGCAAACAAAATGCATTATCTTCACATGCAGTCAGCCATAGTCGTTCAACCCGTCACACCCTACCTCGTCCACTTTTCTTTTTCAATACTGGTGCTTGCCTTGACACAGTAAGAAAAAGAGGAAGGAAGGAAGAACTACAAGACAGAAGGTAGGAAGGTTAACCAGCCACAGTTTGCTGCCCTACGCTGGGGGAATATAGGTAAGGGGAGCACAAGGATGAGAGAAAGAGGAAAGAGATGGGAAAGATAAGAGGAAATTGTCAGTACACGGGCAGACGCGTATGAGGCACTGGTAATATGCAAAAGTCAAAGGTGTTCACAGAGCCTCGTAGTCATCAGAAAACTCAAGAAAGCTTTGACTGCCTTCTGAGGTGATGAGAGGCAAGGATGGTGCTCCCGCAGCATCTGCACAGAGAGTGGCCGATCGTCCAATTGTAGCAACGCGTCATAAAGTTTTCGTCTCTAATAAAGAAACATTAATTGATTGATATGTGGGCTTTAACGTCCCAAAACCACCATATGATTATGAGAGACGCTCATAAAGAAACAGAGGGCAACGGCTTGGCAGATGGTCGATGAATTTCTTCGGTGCCACAGACCTCACATGCCGCACTGTCGGTCACTTTATTTAGGGTTGTATATGCTTTCGTGAAGGCAACCCCCAACCAAAGCCGACAAAGAAGTGAAGCTTCACGTCGACAGTGTTCAGATGGAGGTCGAAGTTCAGTTAAGGGTTTATTTGATGGCGCCTTGTATGTTATGTTTGGGGTGTTTGACTCCAGCAGCACATGAACTACGTGCCAGGTGACGAAGCTGTCTTACCGCATCTGTCCTTGACAGAGGAATTGTCTGCGGAATCATTGTCCCGGAAGCCGCAATGACCAGGTAGCCACTGAAAATTGACCTCGGAGAATCATAGCCCCAACAGAATCCAATGACGAAAATTAGAAAAAAAACAAGAATAATAACTGTTTCCACGCTGAAAGAAAGCCATACTTTCTTATACGCTACAACGATTTATTCTAGACTATACGCTTTCAGTAGAACACAAAAAAATCTCCGTGCAGGATATTCCCCAGGTTATTTACTTTATTACATGACGATTATTATACACTATAACTAACGCCCATATTCCTTTTGCAGGTTCCACTAACCAGCCGACCATATTTGACGAGAAGGGAGACGAAGTTCAAGGCATAGCAGGACCTTACATGGAGGGTGATTCCTTGATGCTGACCTGCAAAGCCAACAGCGGTGAACATACAGCAGTGCTATTCCCGTCTTTCAATAAATTGAGAGTGCCTTGTGTAGTAGTGTAGCGAGAGGTGGCATGGTCCTCCATCACGAATCAGTTAAATTGATGCTCGGCTGCTGGCCCGTGGGTGGCGGGTTTGATCCCGGCCGCAGCTGTCTCAGTTTGGTGGAGGCGAAATGGTAGAGGTCCGTGTACTGTTGCAAGCTAGGACCAGATGATCGGACGTTTTGGAGCCCTGGACTTCAACACCCCTCAAAATCGTATCATAGTATTGGGAAGTAAAACTGGGGGGGGGGGGGGGGCACTGTGGTCAAACTCGCCTCTCCTCTTCCCTTATGGAGCACCCTACGCACACCTATGAGCCCCTTGTTGCTTTTAGGCTACTTATTGTATGCGTTTGATGTAGTTGACGCACTTTATGGTTCGCGTTTAAGCTGTATCATTTTTTGCAGATTTCCGGCTAACGTGGTATTGGAACTCGGCTCCCGCACTCGGCAAGGGTCATTCGCAGGTCAAAGGCATGTCTACGCAGTCGAAGCTCACGAGGCATAACTTGGCACGGAGGGACCGCGACACCCCTATCACGTGCGTCGCTACCAACGCTTTGGGAGCCACACTGAACACCACCGTGAAGCTCGAGATCTGGAGTGAGTGGATCTCTCTTGTTGAAGACGACGCCCTATGAAGATAAGGGGAAACGTGGTTATCTAAGCGGAGCTGTATGTGAAACACTTGCTTAGAGGTACTCGAAGCATTCTTTCAGTATGGCCACAAAAGGTTGCCAATCGACAGACCACAACCGCTGCACGTGGCCTGGAATTTGCAATAAATTCTCATAAAGCTATAAATCTTTCCCGTGGCTAATGGGTTTTCAGCATCGAGGACTGCGCAGTTATCTTACCCGCCGATACCGACCCATATACTACGAGATGCCGTGGCACACTGAAAGTAAGCAACGCTCTGTAAAAAAAAAAAAAGACAGAAAGAGAGAGAGAGAGAGAGAGAGAGAGGCTCAAAATTACGACGTGCGCTGATTAACAGGATTATATGCAATTTTTTTCCCTACTCATTGGTTCGGAAAGAGAGAGAAAACTGCTAAAGCGTGCGATGGATTCTTATAGATTCGCTCTTACTTGACGGACTCTTAATATTTTAGCGTCAGTCGATTCTTGAGGTGATAAACCAATTTAATGAAATCATTCAACGGTTACTTGAACAAGTGTTGCAGGACGCGTCCAATTTGTCCCCTCCATCCACATGTGTCCATGAGCATAAATGAAAAGCCACGCGGCGTGCTCTTAGAAAACGTCGACTTCATGTATTGATGTCATAATCACCAAATCTTACCACGCTGTGATGATGAGACATCATTGATCGCTAAAAGGCAAAACGACCTCAAAGGCTGTGCAGAAAACTTGACTGCAGCGCTGAGCCTTTCGTTCGTGTTTCACCACATAAGTAGAGTCTAACCACTGCGTTGGCGTGGTCGTGCGTGGCAAAGAGTGCGTCCGTATAAGATCCACTGGTTATCCAACTTCCCACAGTGAAATGTCTTCAACTTATTATATTGATAGCTACTATCAGAGTGAAGAGAGGGACACGTTCAAGGGGCGCCGCGCTCTACTATGAGAGTGAACCATTCTACTACAACACTTAAAGAGCTCTAAGCTTCTCTTGCTATGCCCATACAACGAAACTTTGACAACCTTATTAGTGTTTAGTTGACATATTACTGGCATACACACGTTTGAGGGCGTAGATTATTGAATCACCCACGACGGAGAGCTTCAACAACGCTGCTGATGAAACAAAAAGTATTCTGTAAAACCTTCCGTCATTAATGCGCTAAACAACAGCACTTACGTGCGTGGAAAATGTTTGCAATGTGTTGGAAGTTTTGGTATAAACTAGACAGAACATGGGTGAAGCCACGTTTCAGACTTTCCTTATTGGCGACAAAGCTTATACTGCGACAGCCACGTAAGTATGGCAGGCTTCTGTTCGTATTCATGGTAGGCTGTAGCAAAGTACGACAAGTAAGACTACAAAACTACATTTGCAGTATACAGTGTACAGAACAATGAATTACTGTGGTAGTCGCATTCGTGCACCCGCTTAGATATTTTGTACGTCTGAGCGTTAGGCGACTTTACAAACTTATTTAGTGCCTTTTACAACCATTTATGACGCATTCAGAGCATCCATTCAAACACTTGTAGCTTTAGATGTGCAGACATTAGATTCTAGAATTACTTTGTACTTGTGTTTCCGCATGCTTCAGAAATTCTGGTGTCCTAAATTTAGGGTACGTGTATGCCAAGTTCAAAGCCACAGAACCTGCAATGCACACTTCTTCCGCGTTCCAGCACCTGCATCATCAGTGCACATCCGGGCTCGGCCATTCAAAGATGGTATACCCGCCAGCGTAGAGTGCGAGGTGCTGGGTTCGAGACCCGCTCCCCTCGTCACGTGGTACGTTGGCGGCGAAGGTCCTCAGGACGCCACGTTCACCCACGTACAGGAGGATGCCGATGTTGCCACCAGCGTGCTGACGTTGACGGTGTCCGCCAAGGACAGAGGCAAAACGATCACGTGCGTCGTCGCTCATCCAGTCACCGAAGACCGGCTGAACGCCAGCTTCGTCGTCGACGTTCACTGTGAGATTGCGTTGTTCTCTGTACGTTAATCTTAGAAGGCCGAAAGTTGTGCTGTAGGTGATACGGATTCGTGAAGAAAGGAGGTATGCCAGCAGATACAACTCATCTCTTCTGTTGTGTCCGGTTCGCCATAGTAAAACACAGCACAAAGTAAACACGGACAAGGTGCACAGTGGACTAGCCCTGACTGCCAACTGTTCGGCTTATTGTGAAACGACTCAAGTATGCATTGAAGAGAAAGGGGATATTATGAAACTTCAAGCGGCGCATGCGTCGAGAAGCACACTATATTGCTTATTCAAAAACCATTTGTTACGAAGATAGCAACATTCCTTGAGTAATATTCTATCGTGTCTCTACACGTGTTTCATCTCAAACTTGGCCCGCATTACGACTGCGGGACAATGTTCGCTAACGTTGACATTTCTAAGAACGCCTTCTTTCATATCTTACCATATAGGTGATTTGTGAAGGAAATTTGACGGGACTTCATGTTTCGAGCAGCATGTCGATACTGATCTCTAGAATGACTCTAATCGATACGTCTATTCGGAATTTCGGTCCAGGTTATTTGTCTATGGTTATGCTTTAACGCACTACGACCGCATGCGTTAAAAAGTGTACTTGTGATCTGTCACGTCTGTGCAGCTCATGTACATACCTATTAAGAAATTAAAAAGAATATGGGATGAAAAGAACCACTTGCGGGTCGAGTCACTTGCTAGAGGATCGTGGGCCATGCGTTTGAGAAGCATAGCTTATGTAATCTTGTTTTTTGAAACCGCAGACAAACCCTCGCTCCGACTGACAGTCAACGCCACGAAGATCGTTTCCGGAGAGGACCTTTTTATGGAATGCGAAGTTGATGCCAATCCCCCAGCAGTCGAAGTGAGCTGGCATCTCAATGGCCATGTCTTCAGCATCAGCCGAGCGCCTAGTGTCCCGACTGTTTCGGTTCCGTTCACTAGGGCGCAGCTCGATCGTTCCGACTCGGGAAGCTACCAATGCCGCGCTTGGAACAGCTGTGGTGTGGCAGTGAGCAACTTCGTCACCGTCACTGTTACTGGTAAGAATAACGTCATTTCTTTAGGGCGTCAACCGTCTAGTAGAGTTGACTTCTTGAGCGAAGTATGGCGGGCGAATCAAGTGGTACAAAAACCTCATGTCATTTTGGTCGCCCGTTGCGTAATGCTGCGACGACGTCAAGTTCTAGTAAGTTTGTTATGTATTGACGACGTCACAAGATTACATCATCACATGAGGTCACACGATGTCGTCACGGGGTATCATCGCTTCGTCAAAGGTGCATCCTAGAGGTCGTACAAAACCACGTTAAGTGCGGATATATTCAGTTGGGAAGGAACATTGTGATCGACTGACAAGTAATCGACTGACAGGTGGAGACCCCCCCCCCCCTCTCCTGGCTACACGAGGATTACAGTACATGCAACATGTGTCGCGCATATTTATAGCGTGAGCATTCGAGAAACACCACCCCTGGAAACCCGTGCGCTGTAACGTAACACCGTAAACGGGCTGTAACACCACCGCAGTACTTTGAAAAGAAGGCAAAACAGTGGAGTTGCCGTAGCCGTTAGCGCTACCATACAGTCAGTACAGGCGTTTGCCAAAGCAGCTGTCGCTTTGGGTAACCATACCATACGCGCTAGTGCTAACTAATGGTGGTTCCAACAAGACTAATGTCGGTTGGGGTGGGTAAATATAGCTGAATATTTGTTTATGTCATCACACGCCAAGTGGCATATGGATATGTAGACACTTTTGCGAGCAACACTCAGTGTACGGCTTCTATGACAAAATGGTATAGCAATTTGTTTTGAAATCAGTATGGTTACGTTTCGTTCTATTATTTCTGCAAATAGCAGCTCAAAATAGCAAGACAATAGTGAACCCTATCAACGACACTCTTTCATCCTATATGGCGCATTTCGAACAGGAAATTGAACAATTTCCTTACTTGGCAGACGAAGTATATAATGTGTTTGAATGAAAGAAAGTAAAAATGATAATGTATGAAATCTGGGGTGCTTAAATTCTCATTGTAACATAACTGCGGGAAAACAATAGATGTCCTAAGTGTCGAATGAAGGAACACACTCACAAATACGCTATTTCTTTTCATTTTTGCAGGAGCCGATGGCCTGTCGACGCTACTGACAGCTGATTTCCAAGTTATCGCACTATCTGCTCTCGCATCGTTAACATCGCAAGTCCAGAATTTCTGATGCGCGCACATTAGGCGATCTCTTGATGTTAGCTTTTCTTTATTTAGAATATAGACCCTAAATGCGTCATATAGTACGGAAATGTCAACAAACTAATCCAAGAACAGTAATGACGATTAGCGCACACAAATGTACGTAAGAGCAATATTTTATATATTGTAGTAGCACGGGTGATTGGGCTAGTTGGCATTGGTTCATCTTTTAACTGAATACCTGCTCTTGGTCTGTGCTTTTGGAAAGCTCTTTAAATTGCTCTTGGAAATTGTTTTTAATTGGTCTTGTTCTGTGCAATTTCCTGTTCTAGTGTCCGTGTCTGTGTGTGCGCCCTTATTCAGTTAAAATTTTCTATAATATAAGAAAATCCAACATCAGTGCGTGACAAGAAAGTCAACCAACCCCGCTTCTCTATAGCAATAATGAAGTGAGTGAGCAACGATCTAAAACAGACAGGGTCATTTGCACCATCCACAATCGCTGCTTACCGAATTAACTGAATTTCAATGCACACGCATATCTAAAAATACTACAAGCAGCCTTTCTGCGAATCCACATAATTGATTTATATAATAAAAGAAATAAAGATGAAAATGTTCCGAAAACCAAACCCGAACGAGCACATGTGTGGCTTCAAGTTGAACATGTTTAGCAGAAATAAAAGAAGGAAATGATAGCCGTTGGAGTAATTCTAAATCCCGTAATTTCTGCCGTCCTTGTTATGGCGCGAAAGTCGATCCTCTCTGTATGTCGAATCACGAAGCATTCCGCGGATGATAATACTCCGATGGTTCAGCGTGGGCAACTGAGGTAACCGAAAGCTGAGAGTGACATTGATTCGACGCTTCCTGGTGGTCGTCTTTCGAAGGCCTGAAGGCCACTGGTATTCGGCCGAAATGTCATCACCATATGCGGATTCTGGGAAAACGGCAGGACCACCTTCGCCAGGTAGTGACATCCGAGAAGTGCTTGCGCTGTCTCGATGCATGCGATCATCGAGAAATTTGTCGACTCTCCGCCTGGTTTGAACATCGGCATTTGCGACCTCCTCAAAATACGTCGCTGCTAGAGTACGCTCGATCAATGCCTTAACCGATATAGGTGCTGAAGAGAGTGTGAACTCGGGCGTCAAGCTAGACGCGACGTTAACGCTTTCAGTACTGTTGAAGAGCGAGTGATAGACAGATGCGTCCACGCCACCACCACTCTCCGCGAGAGGGAGCGGCAAGTCGAAGTGTGTGCTAACCGCCATTTTTAGGCCCAGCTTCGAAGGGTGCTTCGTCACGAACTGCGAGCTTGCAGTATACTGAAGTAGTCCGCGCTCGTTGAAATAAGGAAGCGAGCGGCGAGTAGATTGTCTCTTGGACGCTGTAGCTTGAACGATGGCCCCAGCCCCATGAGCCAATCCAGCGCGAACCCCACTGTATTGTGTGGACCTTCTGGCGACGGCAGCTCGAAATCTCGCAGACCATCACCGACACCGACTTCGCCGAAGGTTTCCACGATGTCCATAAACGGGTTCATCGTTGTGGCACCATGGTCAGTAGCATGTTCCGTGAGTGTTGTATCGTTCCAGTCTGTGGGACTTGATTCCAAGTCCTGCCGATTTCTAAAACCGACGACTCCTGCGTAAACGAAATATAGATAGAGAAAGGCCGAGTGTTTCTTCTCTTTTTTTTCCTTGAAAGTAAGCGTGAACTAGTGTGAAACTCTGAGAACGTAATTCATGTGTGGCGTATTGAGAGGTAGTTATCAGTCCAGGCTTATATTGGAATAGAAGTATTGTGTTATTGGAGCAGAATATCAAAATACGTGCTTTTCTGCCACGAAAGAAAAGGAATCAATCACAGGCTTGTTTCTTGTTTTCGAGAAAACCTAGTGAAACCAACAGACTTAATGAAGTTTGGACCGGCAACGGGGTCTCTTTTGTAGACAATAAATGTAGTGCTGTAGTTAGGAAATAGGAGGAAATAATGAGAGCAAATGAAAATAACGAAAAAGCAACCTCACTTCTGATAGGGAACAGAACACAACTTTCGCATGTATGTGGCTGTGTGACGATACCTTCAGTCGTGTACTTTCATTCGATTTCAACAACAGACAAGTGCCACCGATAAGCAAATCCTCATGCCCGTGAGGGTACACTGAATAAAATCATGTAAATAAGTACACCACAGGCTTATGTATGTATGTATGTATGTATGTATGTATGTATGTATGTATGTATGTATGTATGTATGTATGTATGTATGTATGTATGTATGTATGTATGTATGTATGTATGTATGTATGTATGTATGTATGTATGTATGTATGTATGTATGTATGTATGTATGTATGTATGTATGTATGTATGTATTTGATACTTCTTGTTAAACGTTTCGATTCTATCAGCGATGTCTAAGATTATGAAGCAATTGAAAGTTTCATTCGAGTTTGAACTTGAACACCTTGAGGAATGCCTGCACAGCAGCTGTATTGCAGCGTAATTTTTTTCTACCTTAAAGACTCACTCTTGATAAATATATGTAAAAAATGGCAGAAGCAACTAGAGGAACCTGACGCTTCACTAAGCTTGTGCTCTCACTACAAATGTAAGGGTGGGAATGATGTTATGTTCTCTGCTTTCTACTTCATCAAAAAAAAAAAACTCTACACCAGTGTACGGCGGCATTGACATCCGTTGTCGGGAAGTCACCACCTGATTATGAAAACTCTTCCTGTCGTTCCTTCATCGTTAATTCTACAGTCTATCGGCAAACATCGAGATAAAAGCTGTAGCACCTTTTGCGTGTTGAAGCAGTGCAGGTACCAAAGCCAACGCAACCACGAACACTAGAATGCAAATGATGATAGCCAAGCAGGCGTAGACGATGTAACCGTTACGGCTTGCAACCACGGTCGCATCATCGGACGTCGGCAGGTGATCTCCAAGCTCGGTTGTGCTGCGCTCGAAAAATTGTACTGATTAAGTGAGGCAGTCATCATTCTTCAAAGGCACTGACGATCGCTTTTTCACAATCCATTTTTTTACAGCGGAACAGAATTATCACCCTCATAGTGTTTGTTGCTGCAGTGGTTGATTGCAAGTGCACATGGTTATTTATAAACAGCTTTTTTTTCGACCTGAAAACTGTATAAATATTCATGAAGGCGTCCTTCATCAATACCGTGATGTGATAGCGATGTCCACAGCCCGCCTCGCAAACTGTTCATAACTCTAACAGTTCTGAGTTTGCAGGCGTGAATGAAACTATGTTTAATCATCTTCATTCTTTAATGGCAGTGCTTTCTTGTTGACTTTGAGAATTGTGAATTCCAGGCCGTGTGCTTTGTGTTAAAGTATTTGGCTCACGGGTTCTACGATGTTTTGACTACCTATCAGCAGCGTTTTGTAAACACGTTGAAAACATTTTGCAGGTTCTTTACAGGTTGTAATGGCAGGAGCAAGGCATATTGCACAAATGCAAGATAACTACTGGTGAATAAAACTAACAGACTGGATTCCAAGAGAAAGTACGCGTGCGAGGAGGAGGCGGCAGGTCAGGTGGGCAGATAAGATGAACAATTTTGTGATGAAAAAGTAATGGCAGCGAGCACACAATCAAATTATTTTACAAAACATAGAAAAAGCTTTTGGTCCTGCTGTGAGTGTAGCCAGGCTTATGATGATCACGATGCTGTGCAGATAAGGATTACAGACTAAGCGTATGCGCATTAGAAATTTGTCTTGCCTTACCTCTGAAAATTCAGGCTTAAAGCGGGGGCGTTAGGGTCTGGCCCCTTACCAGGGGTTGTGCCCTCCTGTGTCAACGGAGATTTGAGCTTCTCGTCAGTGCTGTCAACCTTTTTAACTTCATCTCCTTGCTTTTCGGTTTCCTTCTTCTTCCTACTTTGCTTCTCTTCTTCTTTTCCTTCCCTATCCTTTTCACCGTTCGCTTCCTTACCTTCCTCCACAGGCTTTTTGCCCCCGTCCATGCGATGTTTCGTCTCCGCGTCTTCTTCGGCCTTCTTGCCAGCTTTATTTCTTTTTCCAGTCGCCTTGGAGGGCTTTTTCTGGCTATCCACACCCTCTGCTTGCGCCAGCATTGCTTGCAGAGCGGCCACCAAGTCAATAGGGCCTCCTTCCACTGGTGCCTGAGGAGGTAAGATCGACTGAAAAGGGAGATGACATTCAGGCAAACCAGGGCCCAGAGCAGCGGGTGCCGGAGGAGAAGGAGCAGGCTTGCTCAGGCGATCGCTGTCTAGAGCGCCGCGTTCGTGCCGGTGGTGGAGACAGCAGCAATCGAATCTGCTGCATCATCATAGTAACGGCAGCCGCGTCCACCAAAGGACTAAGTGGCGGCTCCTGCTGAGGAGGAGCAGCGTAGTGTTGGTGGCAAGGCGCCGGGCAAGGGTAGGCTTGTTGGGCAGCAGAAGCTGGCGGGGACGTGCCTGCCAGGATAACTGGGCCCTGGCCACCGCCACCACCTGGCGATGGCAGAGGTAGGGGCATCGGCATCGGAAGCGGCATTGGTATGACGGTAGTCCTCGAACCGCCCCCGCCGGTACCTCCACCGATCGGCACTGTGACGATACGAGGCTGTGTGTTGGTTACTTGCGAAGTGATAATAGGTGGAACCACAACCTTAACTGGATAACAATGCATGGAAAACGCGGCCTAGTAAAAAAAATGCAGCAATGACGCCAAATCAATTTGGCTCGAGGTGATGGCTGATGTTCCTTCTGTTGTTTGCACATCAACTAAGACAACGTGCCCATAGACAACCAACTACCACCTCGATTACGCCTGAGTACGAGCCAGCTCATACATTTACATAGGTAAAACAGCGCAAATGAAAACAGAAGTAGACACAGAACTAACGATATGTCCACTTGTTCATGCTTTATTTGAGGCAGTTTCACTTAACGATAAGAACTTGAATTCACATCGTGACAGTCAGTCGACAAATACGACAACTTCACGTAGCAAGAGTTGTGTACCAACATGGTGTCTCACACCGTTT